TTGTTTATATTCCAAGGCCCGAAGGCTACATCACTAGCCCTGAAAGGGTACATTTGAAATTAGGTTTGTAGGTTATTCTATAGTTGTCGCCACTAAGTATTCATATAGCCTCCACATCACTAGAGCACCCACTCTATGAATATTTGTTTTCGTTTTGAAATTCCCTCAAATATTATTGATGGGAATTGAACTCACAACCTGGTTTTTTGTTCTTCCTTTCATTTATCATATCTGTTGACCTATTTTGAGTCTGTTGTTTGTTGCTGCTGTTATAGAATACCAAAATGTCATAGTTGGGAGTGTTTTTTGCTGCTGCTATAGAACCCCAAAATGTTGTAGTTGGGACTTGGGGTATTCATGGCAACAAGCCAGCAAGCACCTTAAGGAATGAGAATTGACAGTGAAGGGGTCAAGGGTGGACAGGGATATAGCAAGTGAAATTAGACTACCATTATCAACTTTTGGATTCATCAAGCCAAACTTTGGTTTTGATAGATTACTAAAAGGTGGCATGGGCAAGCCCAGTATAGTATCCATTGTGGGTAGATAGCTTACACCTGTACCGCCACGTGTACTGTTGCTGGAAGTAGAAGCTGTTTGAATGATTGAGCATGTCCACGTGTCAATACTAAGCTTATGACAGACGACACGTGTAAAATGTCGATGGCTTTAAGTAGTTAGAAGTTTGAACCCATGGAACAGCAAAATAAAAAAAAAGCAATGGAAGCAACCAAGGAGAGAAGAGAGCAACAGCAGAAGCAAGAAAAAGAAGAATCAAAGAAGAGTGAAGAAGTGGAGAAAGACAAAAGTACCCCAATATCATCATCGTTGGATCCAATGGCTAAGCTTTTAGTTGGTGAAGCCATGAGTAGTAATAATAATAATGGTGGAAATGTCAGGAACACCACTGAGAAGTCTGATGATGTACTCGTGTTCGCACGATCTGTGAACAAGATTGATTCTTCTTTACAGTAGTACTGTGAGTAGTGTGAGTAGTGTGAGTGTGAGTGTGAGTCCCACTTTTTATTTTTTAACGGTGATTAGATATGCCACGAGTTTTTTAATTAAATTATGGAAGAAAGTAAATGTATATTAGTGGTCCCAGATAGATAATGTAAGGTACTTTTGTTAATTATTGTACGTATGGTTTGAATTTGGGGAACTTGATTCCCATTTCTGGAGAAAAGATAGTGCATCACTGCAATGTACAATGACACTCAGTAACCATTTTCATAGCAAATGGCCAAATAGGTTTGAGCTGTAAAAGTTCAGACTCCAGTTTT